GTCTCTGGCAGACAGTTTCTTCGAACTCCTGACCTCAAGCAATCCTCCCGCCTCGGCCCCCCAGAGTGCTAGGATTACCGGCGTGAGCCACCACGCCCGGCCAGAGACAGTTTCTTAAATGTGAATAAAGTTAGCCTGTCACTTCAAGGAAAACTATGGGTAGTATATGTTACCAATGATAATATTTGAGCTTTTAAGTCAAAATGTGAATATTGGAAGACTTTTTTATCTATCACTCTGAGCCTGAATGCTTCTTCTTATAAGATGGTGGTAATGCTAACGGATATGATGTTTTGAACATATCAACATTTAGAGGATCTGTGTACCTCAGTCACCTGATATTTTCTAAATCACCAATATGTGATACTATAGACCCAAGGTATGGATAAATGATCCATTCTACGTGCAAGACAGAACGTAGAATGTTGTTCTGTTCAGTACATTTTGATGTAAGTAAATACACAGTGCTCACTGATGTGGTTTCGTATGCAGTGATTTCACACTGCAAATAACCTTTGAGAAACTACTATTTGTTGAGTCATGCTATAGAATATTAAAGAAAAAAGAATCCACAATTATCTAAAAAAGGATACTAAAATACTCCCTTTTCTGACTACATATCCATGTGACACTGGATTTTCCTCACACACTTTAATTAAAGAACAAAAATCACAACAAATTGAATGTAGAAGCATATATGAGAATTCTTCTGTCTTCTATTAAGTTAGACATTAAAGAGATTTGCAAAAATGTAAAACAGTGCCTTTCTTCTCACTAAACATTATTGTTTGGAAAATATTAATTTATCATTAAAATGTGTTACTTTTAAGAGCATATAATGAGTTTATCACTATTATTTTTAATACATTACTAAGTCTAACTTTTTTCCATTTAATTTCTAATATGATAAATACGAAGAGAATTAACACTCACAAATAAAGGCTCCAATAATTTTTAACAATGTAAAGAGGTCCCAGCTGGCTGTGTGGCTCACGCCTACAATCTCAGCACTTTGGGAGGCTAAGGCAGGAGGATTGCTTGAGGCCAGAAATTCAAGACCAGCCTGGGTAACATAGTGAGGCCACGTCTCAATAAAACACACAAAAAAAATTTAGTCAGGCATGGTGGTGTGTACCTGTAGTCCCAGCTACTCAGGAGGCTCAGGTGGGGGGATCGCTTGAGCCCAGGAGTTTGAGGCTGGAGTGAGTTATGATCATGCCACTGCACTCCAGCCTGGGCTACAGAGAAGGACTCTGTTCCCTTAAAAAAAAAATCCTAAGGCCGGGCGCTGTGGCTCACGCCTGTAATCCTAGCTCTTGGGAGGCCGAGGCGGGCGGATTGCTCAAGGTCAGGAGTTCAAAACCAGCCTGAGCAAGAGCGAGACCCCGTCTCTACTATAAACAGAAAGAAATTAATTGGCCAACTGATATATATATAAAAAAAAAAAATTAGCCGGGCATAGTGGCGCATGCCTGTAGTCCCAGCTACTCGGGAGGCTGAGGCAGCAGGATCACTCGAGCCCAGGAGTTTGAGGTTGCTGTGAGCTAGGCTGACGCCACGGCACTCACTCTAGCCTGGACAACAAAGTGAGACTCTGTCTAAAAAAAAAAAAAAAAAAAAAAATCCTAAGATGAAAACATCTGGGCAAAAATAGTTCCAGTGTGGAACTATTTTATCTTTCTTTTTGGACAGCACCTGGATTTCCCTAAGCAGGACCAGCTTTTATTTTATCTTTATACCTTGCCAGCACAGTAAAACCTCAACTCTTAGCTACAACATGGTCTGATAATCCTTTCAAATTCATGAGCATCACCCAGTGGAAACATGACTCTTCACTTGTGGAGGACTTTGTGGTTAAGGAGTCCAGTGACGCGTTTTAAACAGTTTTTGTTCAATATTGCCCAGTGTTTCCAGACACTGCTGGGAGGGAACAGTTTGTTCTTGTCCCTCGCTTGCCATCTTGCTGGCCAAAGCCTCCTCTCCCAGCACTCTGTCCCCGTCTGCATCAGCTGTCCTCTCTCCTTGCCCCAGCCCCTTCCCACCAGGCTCTGAGCTCCTCGGGGACAGCAGTGCGATGGTGATTCACATGCCCCAAAGTCCTCTGCCTGGCACCCAGCACCTGCAGAGGTGGGTGCTTTCTGCACTTTGGCCAAATAGATGAAGTTAATCAAGTAATTAACAAAACCTAGTAGAATATAGATTCTCAAACCGAGGCTCCAAGGTGAACCAAAAACATAGCCACTACTTTTCAGGATATCCAAGGGTGAGGAAAAAGGATGGATGTGATTTCTGCCCTCTAAAATTCACCCCCGCATATTTCGGCTGGGAGAGGTCATGAAGCAGAACAGCCCGGGTGTGGGGTCCAAGGGTGGGCCTCCAGCAGCACAAGCCGTGTGACCTTGGGAAAGTGGCTTGGTCACATCAGCCCTGTGTGCAGGGGTGGCATTTCCCATCCGCTGTGAGGGAGCCAATGTCAGGAAGCACCAGCCCTTAGGAGATGCCCTTAGTTCCTCATCTCCATCCCCCTGTGACCACCTACCCGTCACAAAAATTGTGGGCCCAAGGAGTCCTGCAGGAGTTCTCACTCCTGGTGAGGAAGAGCCCTGGAACACAGTTTGGCAAAGGTGTGGCCTGATGAACACACTTGACCTTAATAAAACGCCGGCACACTGGTAAAGGCCAGGCTAAGCGTCTGCATTTAACAAAACCTAAAGAGAGTTTTTCCACGAGTTATAAATCAGGGCAATGATGGGATGAAAAGGGTGCTAAGGAAGGCGGTTCTAGAGGTTCCAAGAAGAATGGAGTGGAGGAAGGTGAGACCAGGAGTGGGGAAGTGAGCTAAGAGGCAGAGCAGCCAGGTCCACAGGGAGAAACACCCAGGGCCACTTGCTGGCTTGGTTTTAAATCAGTTCCTATCCTCAAGTTTATATGAACTTATAACAGCAGTACAGTTTGCGTACCTTAAAACAGCCCCAAGAGGAGCTCTGCTACGGCGGTCTTATCTGCAGGAGTTACAGCCGGGTGGTGGGAACCGACTGCCCTCAACCTTGCTCCCAGGAGGGTCACCATTGCTCCGTGAGAGAAAGACAGATGCTATGCTGGATGGCAACACCGTGTAAACACACGCGCCAGAACAGCGCAGAACCTTCTACCCGTCTGCCCTGTCAATAAACCATTTCATCAGACCACAAATCTCAGGTGAGAAATGAAAAGCCAGCATCGATTTCATTGTACAGCTGATTTTATTTACAAATAGAAGTCAGATAATCTTGTATTTAAATGGCACAAGTTCCATCACTCACAATCAGAGAAGTGACATCTGAAATTTATAAAGATTTACATTATGATTCAATCTCTTTTCTAAGGAGGGGGAAGAGCCTTAAGGTCTGGGAGAAAGAATAAAACAAATGAAAATATTAGCAAAGTAGGGGAAATGATGAATTGATGCATGGGCCAAAATATGTCTCTAGCGGGCACATTTTTCTTTACTAGCAACAAAATAAGTCACAAGGAAATCTGGATCACCTGACAGATATGAGGTTTCCACTCTTCAATTACACTAAGGGCTTCTACTTTCTCTCTGTCAGTGCCTGAGTTATCACACTAATGTGAACCCACACAGTTTTCTTCAATAGGACCACTTTAGCCAATATATTCAAATTACACCACAGAGTGCAAACCTTAGACTACATTTTATATACACCTTATTTTGACCTTGTCAAATCAAGTACCTCTTGAGTTAGTGGCAGCAGGGACAACTGCTGTGACAATGGCCCAGGGAAAGCCAAAAGCCCAGACAAGAAACGCAGGTGACAAGCGAGGCACAGTCACATCTCCTGTCTCAGGTGAAGGGCCCTGCTTTGGCTTGGATAGACAGGTGCTGGCAGAAGAACACGTGACCCCCCTGGATGGCCCCTCCCTCTGTGCAGGGGCCACCCACAGGACAGCACCCAGGATGAACCCTTCAGGTTTGGTCCCTTCAGAAACCTCTATCGCCAGACCCTGCTCTAGGTTTTTCTCCTCTGTCAGACAAGTCCTTCTCACTCAGAAAGACTGAAGTCTCCCCCATCCCACATTCAGGTCCTGGGGGCATGTGCTTCCCATCCTTGCACCATACTTGATTGTCTACCCTCCATCCCAGAGTGAGCCCCTGTGGGCAGGCCTCACGCCTCACTAACTAGTTCCCAGGTGAAGACGGCAGCACCTCGCCCAAAGCAGGCGTCTAGGAAGTGTGTGCTAATCCAAAATCAACCTCAATGTTCACAGCCCACTTGGGGGACCACCGACCTCCCTCAGCCATTTCTCAGCAACATCCGCGGACTCCAGTCCTCAGGCCTCATTCCCCTGACCACGAGCCCTTCCCAGGCACCGTGTGGGTTTCCTCCCCCACACCCTTTCCGTAAGATCAGCCCCGTCACTGGACTGTGGGTTTTCTGGGCAAATCTCAGCCATGGACCTAGCTGATGCAGTGACCAGCAGAGCCCCATCACGGTGCGTGGGACTCCCACTCACTTGTGTTCCCTGTAGTGCCTCAAGCACTCGGAGCCCTGGCCACCAAGGCCGGCAGGCACGAGGGCTGCTCACAGCCCAGTGTTACAGACCAGAAGCTGCGGCCCCACATCTGAGGCTCTTTATGGGAAGGGCCCTCTGAACAGCCAGCTCCTGCCTGCACGGGCTGCTGCTGCTGCTGGAGTCTGCAGGCAGTGGCGGGGAAGATCGGGGTCCCTGGGGATCAGCCTCTGCAAATCGCCTCCCTGCTGAATCCCTCAGCAGGACGCCTCAGCCATCCCTCAATAGAAGGAGGGCCACACATACCGTTTCTCACTCCTCATCAGCCCTGGGGAGTCTGTACTGTTCCAGACCTAGGAACTGAGGCTCCCCGAGGGAGCGAACAGCCGCGCTGACCTCCTGAGCAGCCTGTGGCGTCCAGCCCCGCGTCCTGTCCAGCACGCAGACTCGGGTATGGACGTGCGTCTCTGGGACCGGCGCGCTGGGCTCACCTGAATGCCGTCCAGCAGCTTGCTCATGCACCAGTAGGTGTCGGCCTCGATGTTGCGCAGCACGTCCTCGGGCACGCTGGAGACGTCCACGGCGTCCACGTCCTCTGCTTCTGCGTGGCGCCGAGCATGGAAAAGACAAGGAGCACTTAGCCACTCGAAGTGAACAGCCGCGCGAGGAGGCCCCGCGGGAGACCTGCATGCAGGTCAGACGCTCCCACACTCTCTTTCATCACTCCAGCTAACGACTCATGTAGTCTTCACCTCACCACTTAATGGTTCTCAATTTTAATAACTAATTAGTTGCAGAAAATTAATATTCTGAATCCTCTCCAATTAATTAACATAATTAATATATTATGAATTATAGCTTCTCAGGCATTTCACATCCTAATAAGATAGAATCTAGAATATATTACTTATTCCTAACAGAGATCCAAAAGTTTTTCGTAAGATTTTAAAAACTCTGCTTCTAATATATTTAAATATTCATTTGGCAATAATTCCTCTAAAAACCTGTTTCCAAAGTTAGAGTTTCCAAAACTACGCTGGGTAAATACTTCTCTGCTGTGATCAAATACCTCAGAAAGTAGTAACACAGATGTGCCTCAAAGAAATAATAGACAATGGTGCTCTAAATAATTTCCATCTTAAAGTATAAAAAACCTAATGAGAAAACATTACTTAAAAGTTTTTAAAATGCAAAACAGATGCCTAATTGAAATGGCTTATCAGATATTTGAACAAACTAATTTTAGATCCTTATGAAAATTGCTATCATCCAGCAAAACACTCATAAATGTTTTAAAAATTATGTATCCTAGTTCTTAATTTTTTTGCTTTTATTTGCAAATGTACCTGGAATCTTTGCAAGGAAAATGTTCTTTAAGGAAAGAAACATTTAGGCCCAGAATATATTTATAAAGTTTTAAGCAGGTAAAAATCACATTATAACAACCCTAATAATTGCTAGCATTTATTAAGCGCTTCCTGTATGCCAGGCACTCCTCCTGTATGTTAAATGTGCTTGCTCATTTACTCTCCAGCACGACTCCACCTTTCTCCCCACTCACCCCTAAGGACAGTGGGTGCAGAGAAACAATGGCCATGGCCTTCCCAGCAGCCTGGTAAGCAGGGAGGGGTGTGACATGAACCCCTCATCTGGTCCCAGCACGCCAGATCCTTAACTGCTCCCCAAAACACTCAGAGGCACAGCTCACATTCACATTCCACAAAGATCTAACCCGATCGCAATCGGTCCTGCGCTGCAGCCCCACACGATTCCTAACTGTGAGTGGGAGAAGTTGAGACAAACACCCTGTTCCCAAGTTCCTCGTTGACCAGAGAAACCAGAAAGGCAGAAGGGGAAGAGCGTCTCCACATCAAGACCGTTAGGTAGCTGCCGCTTACTGGACTCTGGACAATGCGACAACCCAGACCCGCATCTAACACGGCAGATCAACAATACAGATTCTGACCAGGCCACTCCTCCTCATCTCCGGGATGGGGGGCGGGACTATAAGGGCGCGCACGCAAAACCAGCACCCCAGCCCCATCTCACACGCGCTCCCTCACTTACTCAACAGCTATTGTCTGGGTTTGGGGTTTTTTAAATTGAGAAACAATTCATATACCATTAAATTAAATTTAAAGTATTCTTTTCACAGAGTTGTGCAACTATCATCACCGTCTAATTCCAGAACATTTCCATCACCCCAAAAGAAACCTTGTGTCCACAGCAATCACTTCCCATTATCTGCTCTCCACCCAGCCCCGGCAACTGCTCATCTGCTTTCTGTCTTGCTGGTTCGCCTGTTCCGCACGCCACGGGGCCATCTGCGGCTGGCCCTTTCACGCAGCACGCTTTCAAGGCTCATCCTCGAGGTAGCATGTGTCAGTGCTTCACTCACTTTTACAGCCGAGTAACACCCTGCTGTGTGGACGGGCCACACTGGGCTTCTGCATTCCTCGGCTGGTGGAACTCGAGCTGTCTCCACCGTGGGGTGATGGCAGGTGCCCCGTGTGGGAGCTCTGTCCCCACACTCCAAGCAATGGGCACAGAGCAGGGGACAGAGTTGATACCCTCAGGAGGCTCACGCATTAATGGAAAAAGCAAATGGCTTTAAAAATTGAAAACATCAATGTTTAAGTGTCAAAGAGTCACCAGGTGGCACGAAGGTGGGGAGGGCCACCAGAAAGCGGGTCATTTACTCCTGGGACCCAGACCTGTGAAGGGTGCCAACACCCACAGCGTCCTGGACACACACTGGACCCTCACTCCCTCGGCCCCGTGTCTTCCCAACCCAGGAAGGCAGACACAGGCGGTCACTTCCCCTAACTTCCGCTCAGACTTAGCTCACCCTGACACTGGCATTCTCCTGGCAGCCCTGTCCACCCACTGGCCCTGCGGGCTCTCTCCCCAGCGCACAAGGACTGCTCAGCCCAGCAGGGCGCCTGGCCTCAGGAGCCCAGTGTCTGATGTGAGCAGCCCTGATGACACTCCCACAGTGACTCCATGGGAAAGGCCCTGTCTCCTGAGTTTCCCATGGCAGCCCGTGGTGGGGGTGTCATCTCCGCCAGTCTGTAGCTGCAGAAACTAGGCCTCCAGGCACTCATCAACGTGTGCTGTACAGCTGGCGAGCGTGACAGGGCTGCTTTGCCCAACACCAAGCCCAGGACCCCCATCACACCTGTCCTGCCAGGATGTACCACAAAGGCACGTACACAGACATGAGGATGAGTGCTCTCACGTGCTCTCACGAGGCACAATGACCTCACTAGGAAAGCAGCTTCAGCAGAATCAATCCGACATTCTGCGGACCTGCAGCAGGTCTGATTTCCAGTCTCGGGGAATGGAAACTGCAGCAATAATCTGAGGATTTCTTTTGAGAAGTTTTCCATTGACATAGTCCCTCTTTCAAGGGCCTTCCCAGCATGAGGATATTTCCTCAGACATAATAAAAGGTAAACAGGGAAATAAAGCCTCCCCAGACCTCAACAGCCTCGCCTCAAGTTCAGACGGCGCTGGGCTGTCACAGCCCTAACCCGCAGAAAACAGGTGCTGCGTGGACAGCAGAAGCCGCGCTTTTTCCTAGTCTGCCCAGCTGGCTGATCATTTTATCCAAAGCAACACCGGCGGCCTGCTCCATCTCTCACGGCGGGCCATTTGTTACTCTTCAAAGTAACAAAGTGATGGCATTGAATGCAGAGAACCCCTAGGCCGACTTGTCTTCTAAACGCCAAGAGAATCAGAATGACCCTTAGCATTAGAATGAGGCAAATATCCCCCGACCCAAGAAAACACCCACCTACGCTGGTGAAGGCACAGAGACACTCTGGAACTCCCGGCTGTGACCGCAGAGTCAGGGCCCAGGATGGGCTGCAGGAGACAGCCCTGGGCTGGCATCTCTGGCCCCTAAGGAGACAGCACTGAGGGGTCCAAGACCACTCAGCTCCACAGGAGCCAGGCCCCCAGTGGTCCCTGGGGGCTTGGCCTGGACAAAAGCCACAGGCAGGATCGGCAGGTCTCCCTCTCGGCCATCTGTCAGGTGCTGATCTACTACACCACCTGCCATGTCAAGTGTGTGCTGAGACCCGTCCTTGGAGTCAGATCCCGAGAGGGCCAACAGCCGTGACGGATTCTCACTCAAGATCACCCGACTCTACCAAGGCTGCTGCGTCCATGGGCGAGGAAGGAGGCGACCAGGAAGCAGGAAACTGGCACACAGAATGGCCAGCCCATGGGTCAGGGACCTGAGTGAGCTAGGGGTGGAACATTCACCGCCCTGCAGCCCACGGCGAGTTTCGGAGTTAGCTCCCTAAACATGTGTCATGCCAAAGGACAGCGGAGATGACAGCGTTGATATCAGGGAAAGAAAGATTTTTCAGCTCACAAATGAGAAGAAAAAACAGACACTGAGCAAATCCAAGCAACCCCCAGGTTCAAAGGAAGAAACATGATTCAAAGGGGAAAAAAACATAGATGCCCTGGAGAAAGCAGCGTAGGCATGCAGAACTAGGGTGTCGTGGCGGGTGCTGTCTAAATAAAAACACCGCAGTGGCCAAGGAGCTACGCAGGTGCTCTCAGGGGTGCCACCTCCCCGGGCCTTGGAGGTCTGGGCTTAGATGTGTAGGTATGTCTTCCCTGGGCCACACAAGCTGGCTCCAGGCACCAGGTAAGGAGCTTGGCGAGGCATGGGGCACCCCAGAGCAAAACAGGGGTGCAGGGGAGAGGGTGCCTGTCACACAATCTCAATCCCCTCTCAGCCAAGGACTGACAGGGCCTTGGGAGCCATGACAGGGATGGGCTACCAGTGGGGCTTTCGAAGGTGATATTTATGCCAAACACATTACTAAAAATAATGGAATCCAAACCAATTTGCTTCAATCTGAAATAAAATCTGACTAAATTCTACTTTTTACATTTATCATTTAATTATAAACTGACATTAAGACCAGCAGGTAGACACTGTCCTGGAGCTGCTCCCAGCCCCTCTTCCCCCACACTGGCCACACCACCATCCTACGGGGGCCAGGCCCTGTCCCCGGGGACACCACGGTGAAAGAGGTGCGAGCCCTGACCTCCACGAGCCCTCAGAGTGGCAGGGAGGCTGCCGTGTGCACAGGCCCACCCAAGGTACCTGCAGAAGGTGAAGGTACCTCTACAGCCCAGGCACAAGATGAGTAGTCCAAAGTGGACCACTCCAGAATGCAGAGTAATGGGACATAAAAACACCTGCTGAATTAAAACTCATCTCATTCATCTCCTTAGATCACAGAAAGGTTTTGGGGGATGATTTAACTAACGTCCTGTGAACATGCTGTCCTGCTATACTAAATAAAAAAAAAAAGCAAATTTTACAATAATCTCATCTTTATCAACAACCCCGTTTACGTCAAAGCCCCCGCCACCTCCTCCACGTATACACACAGAGACCCGGCTCAGAAGGGCCCCACAAGCAGGAAAGCCCAGACTCCCCAGCAGGTGGGGGCAGGAGACTCCCACTCTTTATTTTCTACAGAATGGTACAGACTAAAAGGAATGTGAATATTTTTACAATAAACAGTTATTATTTTTGCAATAGAAAAAATAACATTGTTTAAGACATTTAGA